CACGGCCCCCACCACACCACCACCTGTTGCCACGGCCTTCCCACACACCACTCACCACGGCTCTACCACACACCACCTGTTGCCACGGCCCTACCACACCAAACCTGTTGCCACGGCCTCTACCACACCATCACACCTGTTGCCACGGCCTCTACCACACCCATCACCTGTTGCCACGGCCCTACCACACCACCACCTGTTGCCACTGGCCTCACACACCACCACCTGTTGCCACGGCCTCACCACACCACCACCTGTTGCCACGGCCTCTACCACACCACCACCTGTTGCCACGGCTCCCACCACATCACCTGTTGCCACGGCCCCACCACACCATCACCTGTTGCCACGGCCTCTACCACACCACCACCTGTTGCCACTGCCTCTACCACACCACCACCTGTTGCCACGGCCTCTACCACACCACCACCTGTTGCCACGGCCTACCACCACACCATCACCTGTTGCTCACTGGCCCCAACCCACACCACCACCTGTTGCCACGGCCTCACCACACCACCACCCTGTTGCCACGGCCCCACCACACCACCACCTGTTGCCACGGCCTCTACCATACCACCACCTGTTGCCACGGCCTACCACAACATCACCCTGCACACCTCTACCATACCACCACCTGTTGCCACGGCCCCACCACACCACCACCTGTTGTTGCCAGCCCCACACCAACACCACCTGTTGCCACGGCCCTACCACACCACCACCTGTTGCCACGGCCTCTACCACACCACCACCTGTTGCCACGGCCTCTCCACACCCTCACACCACCTGTTGCCACGGCCCCCCACCACCACCACCTGTTGCCACGGCCTCTACCACACCACCACCTGTTGCCCCGGCCTCACCACACCACCACCTGTTGCCACGGCCTCTACCACACCACCACCCCCCCCCACCCCACCCCCCCCCCCCCCCACCCCCCCCCCCGCCCCACCACACCCCACCCTGGCCCCACCACACCCCCACCACACACACACCTCTACCACTACCACCACCTGTTCCACGGCCCCACACCACCCACCTGTTGCCACGGCCCCCACCACACCACCACCTGTTGCCACGGCCCTCACCACACCACCACCTGTTGCCACGGCCCCACACCACCACTTGACCTACCACACCACCACCTGCCACGGCCCCACCACACCACCTGTTGCCAGGGCCCTACCACACCACACACCTGTTGCCACGGCCCCCACCACACCACCACCTGTTGCCACGTTCCCCACTCCACACCACACCTGTTGCCACGGCCCTACCACACCACCACCTGTCAGCTTTCACGGCCCCTACCACACCACCAATCTGCCACACGGCCTCCACCACACCACCATCTGTCACACTGCCATCCACACCACTCACACTTCATTCCCCCACCCACACCCACCACCTGCTGCCACGGCCCCCCACCACATCCCACCACCTGCTGCCACGGCCCCACCACACCACCACCTGTTGCCACGGCCCCCACCACACCAACCACCTGCTGCTTTCACGGCCCCTACCACACCACCACCTGTTGCCACGGCCCTACCACACCACCAACCTGTTGCCACGGCCTCTACCAACACCACCACTTGTGCCATGGCCTCTACCACACCACCACACCTGCTGCCACGGCCTCACCACACCATCACCTGTTGCCACGGCCTCTACCACACCACCACCTGTTGCCACACTCTACCACACCATCCACCTGTTGCCACGGCCTACCACACCACCACCTTGCCACGGCCTCTACCACACCATCACCTTTTGCCACGGCCTCACCACACCATCACCTGTTGCCACGGCCTCTACCACACCACCACCTGTTGCCACGGCCTCTACCACACCACCACCTGTTGCCACGGCCTCTACCACACACACCAACTTGCTGCCACGGCCTCACCCCACACCACCACCTGTTGCCACGGCCTCTACCTCACACCAATTGTTGCCAATGGCCCCACCACCCACCACCTACTGTTGCCACGGCCCCACCATACCACCAACCACCTGTTGCCACGGCCTCACCACAACACCACCTGTTGCCACGGCCCCACCACACCACCACTTGTTGCCACGGCCTCTACCACACCACCACCTGTTGCCACGGCCTCTACCACACCACCACTTGTTGCCACGGCCTCTACCACACCACCACCTGCTGCCACGGCCTCTACCACACCACCACCTGTTGCCACGGCCTCTACCACACCACCACCTGTTGCCAACGGCTCCTACCACACCACCACTTGTTGCCACGGCCTCTACCACACCACCACCTGTTGCCACGGCCTCTACCACACCACACCACTTGTTGTACTTCTATTCTCTACCACACCACCACCTGTTGCCACGGCTCTACCTCACACACCACCACCTGTTGCCACGGCCCCACCACACCACCACCTGCTGCCACGGCCCCTACCACACCACCACCTGTTGCCACGGCCCCCACCACACCACCACTTGCTTGCCACGGCCTCCACCACACCACCACCTTGTTGCCACGGCCCCACCCACACACCACCACCCTGTTGCCACGGCCCCCACCACACCACCACCTGCCACGGCCCCACCACACCACCACCACCTGTTGCCACGGCCCTACCACACCACCAACTTGTTGCCACGGCCTCACTCCACACCACCACTTGTTGCCATTTGCCCCCACACACCAACCACTCTGTTGCCACGGCCCCCACCACACCACCCCATTGCCACAGCCTCCACCCCACACCCACACCCCACACCTCTACCACACCACCACCTGTTGCCACGGCCCTACCACACCACCACCTGTTGCCACGGCCCCACCACACCACCACCTCTGTTGCCACAGCCCCACCCACACCACCACTCTGTTGCCACGGCCCCACCACACCACCACCTGTTGCCACGGCCTCACCACACCACCACTTGTCCACGGCCCCCACCACACCACCACACTTGTTGCCACGGCCTCACCACACCACCACCTGTTGCCACGGCCTCACCACACCACCACTTGTTGCCTGGCCTCTACCACCACCACTTGTTGCCCGGCCTCTACCACCACTTGTTGCACGGCCTCACCACACCACCATCATTTTATGTAGCATCACACAACATGATCTAGCCACTAGACTACTCGACCCCCGGCCAGCTCAGTCCGTGCTCAGCCCAGCCCAACTCGTCCCGGCCAACTCAGTCCCGGGCTCAGTCCCAGCCAACTCAGCCCAGCCAACTCGGTCCGGCCAACTCAGTCCCGGCCAACTCAGTCCCAGCCAACTCAGTCCTGGCTCAGTCCCGGCCAACTCCGGGGTTTAAACATAAATGTTCTCCGACTTAAATTTGTGATGGGCTAACCTGACAGGGTTGAATTGACGGGATGGTGGTTGAAACCTAAGGTCACCTCAACCCCTGCCATTCAACTGGAGTCAACTCAACCCTCTGTCAACCCAACCACAATTCAACTCAACCACCAGTCAACTCAACCACCAGTCAACTCAACCACCAGTCCTTATCAACTCCCTGTCAAGTCAATCCTTGGTCAAATCAACCTCGGCACACCTTTGCCTCTATCAAATGTAAACTCGTTGTGGAATGTCAGATAATCATATATACTAGCTGGTGTTCCCCTTCTGGTACCTTGTAGCTCTTATACTTACTTGGTATTTGTATGAGAGAACATAATGATCGCACAAACACTATTCGGCTTTTGTATTTATTTATCAAAATATAACACACCATGGTTATCAATAACGAATTAACCGATAGATAGCAACCGTCTTTTTGCGAGAGAATATAGGAGGTAATTTACAGAGCTCCTTTAACACGTCTGTCATGTGTGAGATACAGGGTTTAAGTCCACTGGGGCTAGGCACTTGGTGATGACCTGTGCGCATCAGAGGTATTCATTGTTGTTGTTGTCTATGAAGTTTATTTGGTTTGTGTGAGTTATACAATAAATACAGGTTAATAATCCTCATTTATATGAGTACTACTGCCTATATATTGACAGTCAACTTAACTTCCTATCAATTTAATCTGTCAACCCAACCTCAGTCAACTTAAGCCCAGTTAATTAAATCCACTATCAATTCAACTCAAAATCATTTCAACTCCTCTCAACCAAACCGCCTATCAATTTAACCCCTGTTAATTCAGTCCCCAGTCAACTCAATCTCTAATCTAGTCAATCCCTGTCAATCAAATCCACATCAACGTATCCCCTGTCAACACAACCCCTGTCAAAAAGACTATATTAATTTACACCACGAAGATGCCAGAAAACCAGCTTTTTAAAGTGAGACAGATTGTATGAGTATGGAAACACAGAAGAAGGCAGAGCATTCCACAGTTTGGCTGAATGAGGAAAGAAGGATGTACTATAACGGGTTATTCTAGTAAGACATCCACACAAAATCGGTGGGCACCGCGGGTAAGACAGGATGCCAAATCTACCGAAAATTGCCCGTTAAAGTACTTGTAAAGGAGAGAGAAGCAACTTAGCGGCGAAGAGAAAGGGGGGAAAGATTATTGACTCGGGGAGAAGAGTTAATAAGACGAAATGCCGTTGATTCCACCCTATCTAGCGAGGCTGGGGCAAGACGCTAAGGGCGCCAACAGATACAGTGTCACCACCACAGCTCCATTCTTCACAGCCAACAGATACAGTGTCACAACCACAGCTCCATTCCTCACAGCCAACAGATACAGTGTCACAACCACAGCTCGGATGTACTGCATCCAGGGCAGCACCTGTTCACCCCACTGACTGGCCATCCTCAATGTCCAACCAGGAAAAAGCATAACTTGTTCTCAGAGGACCTTACCAGGTTGATCCTAATTATGTGTTTCCAAAAAAGGATGGGAGAAGATGTCAACATGATTACTTTCGCCGAATCTTAGTAAATGGAGAGAAGATCCAAAGAAGTTGGCTAATTTATTCGGTGAAACAGGATAAACTTTTTTGCTTCTGTTGTAAAATGTTTCCTACGAAACATGTTAGAATGGCTGAAGAAGGCATCAATGATTGGAAAAATGCCAGTCATTTCCTCAGCACACATGAAAGTAGCATAGAACACAATAAAACATGGAAGGAACTGGAGGTCAACAATGCAAGAGGAAGGACGATAGACCGACGGGAAATGGAAAAGTTAATGGCTGAGTGGAACAGGTGGCGCCAAGTCCTCATTAGACTAGTGGCTCTAAGAGGGTCAACCGAAAAACTTAAATGTCCTTCCAATGGTAATTTTCTCCAAGAAGTGGAACTTTTGGCTAAATTTGATCCATTTATGAAGAATCATTTAAGTAGGGTTGAAAGTAATGCAGGCAATCACAGTCACACTCACTACCTTGGCCAAATGATCCAAAATGAACTGATTAACATTATAAGTGTAAAGATTACTGAGAGAATCGTGGACGATATCAAAGCATCGAAATACTTCTCTATTATTTTAGACTGCACCCCTGATTTGAGTCACAAAGAGCAACTTTCTCTCATAATCAGGATAGTGGCACTTGAAGACAAGTCAACAATAAAGGAGCATTTCTTGGGGTTCCTTGAGGTAGAGAAGTCTTCTGGGCTAAATTTGTCATGCCTTCTACTCGGAAGACTGAAACAACTGAACATTTCTTTTGAGGATTGTCGAGGTCAATCTTACGACAATGGAGCAAATATGAGAGGAACATCAAAAGAGTTCAAGCCAGGCTTCTTCAACAGAATTCTCGGGCCTTATTTGTCCCGTGTGGTGCCCATAATTTGAATTTGATATTAGCTGACGCTGCCAAGAGCTCCCTAGATGCAACTTGTTACTTCGGATATTTAACGAAATTATTCACATTGTTTTCAGTCTCCCCTCAGAGGTGGCAAGTTCTTTTAAAACATATCATTATTACTCTGAAATCGTGGTCAGACGTCAGATGGGAAAGCCGAGTAAAAAGTGTGGAGGCAATTAAATATCAACCTGCGCAAATCAGAGAAGCGCTTTTGGAGTTCAGAGAATCTGCAACTGACCCTGTCGTCAAAGTTGAGGCTCAATCGTTGGCAGAGGAAGTAGGGTCATACCGTTTTGTCATTTGCCCAGTTGTGTGGTATGATATACTCAGCAAAATTCAGCACGTGAGCAAACTAATGCAGTCGACTACGATGCAGCTCGGCGTGGCTGTAGATCTGCTTAAGAAGACCAGAGATAATATTGTCAGCTACAGAAATACAGGTTTTGCTGAGGCACTAACTATTGCTAAAGAAATCTGTGAAGCGATGAACGTAGACACCGTGCTGAAACAGAAGAGACTAAGAACTAAAAAATGCCACTTTAGCTATGAGAGTGCAGACGAACATGTCAGCGATGCACTCAAGAGGATGGAGACTACATTTTTCAATGTGGTAGTGGACACTGCGATTTCCTCTCTTAATGAGAGGTTCAAGACCTTGGGCGAGGTGAGTGAAAAGTTTAAAGTATTGTTAGGGTTCACGGACATGTCTGACAAAGACATCGTCGATCACTGCCAAACCCTCAGCAACACGCTTACTCATGAGGGACACTCAGACATTGATGGAAGGGAACTGGCCATGGAGCTGCAGAGTGTCCCAGATTTGCCTTCCAAGAGAATGACAACAATGGATTTTCTTACCTTCCTGCATGAAAAGAAACTTACTGAAGTATTCCCGAACTTGTGGGTAGCTCTGCGGATCTGTGCAACTCTCCCTGTAACAGTGTAGGCAGCAGAGCGGAGCTTTTCTAAGTTAAAACTGATAAAAACTTATTTGCGATCCACAATGGCGCAGGAACGTCTTAGTGGGCCGGCCATAATCAGTGTGAACCATGCAGTGTCTAGGCCCTAGGGAGTTATCGTATGACGATGTAATCGACGAATTCGCTTCCAGGAAGTCAAGAAGAGTCAAGTTATAACTGTTATAAGCAGGCACGTAGTGAAGAGGAGAACACGGCGGAAACCAGAATGTCATAACATATGTTAATTGAATTGCTCATTGTTTAAATACAATGGTAGTTTGATTTTGAGTGTTTTTTACAGTCACTTTTCATGCCATTATTTTATGTTGCTTGTATTGTGCTTTTCTTTGGATATTCCACAGTTTAAACGGATTTGTAATTAATGTATGTATTAGCAAATTAAAATAGATCAGTGTAAGGTATACAGTTTCTTCAATATGGTACCTTGATTACTTTGTGGGCAAACCCAGTCGTGAAGTGGGAGGCGGGTGGGGGCGCCAGCTGCAGTTCTGCTAAGGGCGCCAAATAGGCTAGCGCCGGCCATGTCTGTACAGCATTCCCAGCTTTCGGGAGGCAGCTTCAGCAATGTTGTGGATGTGTGGCTTCCATGGCATATTAGAGGAAATGGTGACGCCTAGCGTATCTATTTTAGAATGTGGCCAAATAGTTGCATCCTGAAATGTAATTGGTGGGAGATCTTCTAATTTCAAAAGTGTAATTGGTAATTAATGTGTTTTCTTTTTATTGAATTTAACCAAATTTATGCCTCCCCATTCGGAGATGCTGCATAGATCCGCATTGATAGATGTTATGATATCAACTTGGCTCACAAATAACCCAGCACATGACTTGAACCCACACATAACCCAGTACATGCCATGATTTAGATTCACCCCAACACACCGCACCACCTGACCTAAATATTCTGTCTGCGTCACCGAGACAGGAAACGCCTGAGCAAGATTTCCCAGTACTGAGTTGTCTGCTTGTAGCCGCGAGTGACAGAACATTTATATTAACCTCCTTACAACAAACTCCACGAACACTTAAGGCATACCAGTAAGAGTTGTGACACAAACACACCATGAATTAGTGTTTTATTATGAGACAAACACATCATGAATTAGTGTTTTATTATGAGACAAACACATCGTGAATTAGTGTTTTATTATGAGACAAACACATCGTGAATTAGTGTTTTATTATGAGACAAACACATCATGAATTAGTGTTTTATTATGAGACAAACACATCATGAATTAGTGTTTTATTATGAGACAAACACATCATGAATTAGTGTTTTATTATGAGAGAAACACATCATGAATTAGTGTTTTATTATGAGACAAACACATCGTGAATTAGTGTTTTATTATGACACAAACATCAAGAATTAGTGTTTTATTATGACACAAACACATCATGAATTAGTGTTTTATTATGAGACAAAACATCATGAATTAGTGTTTTATTATGAGAAAACACATCATGAATTAGTGTTTTATTATGACACAAACACATCATGAATTAGTGTTTTATTATGACACAAAACATCATGAATTAGTGTTTTATTATGAGACAAACACATCATGAATTGGTGTTTTATTATGACACAAACACTTCATGAATTAGTGTTTTATTATGACACAAACACATCATGAATTGGTGTTTTATTATGACACAAACACTTCATGAATTAGGGTTTTATTATGAGACAAACACATCATGAATTATGTTTTATTATGAGACAAACACATCATGAATTAAGCTTTAAATATGAAACAAACACATCATGAATTGGTGTTTTATTGTGAGACAAACACATCACGAATTGGTGTTTTACTATGAGACAAACACATCACGAATTAGTGTTTTATTACGAGACAAATACTTTCATGATTTGGTGTTTTATTATGAGATAAACACATCGTAAATTAGTGTTTTATTATGACACAAACATCATGAATTAGTGTTTTATTATGACACAAACATCATGAATTAGTGTTTTATTATGAGACAAAAACATCATGAATTAGTGTTTTATTATGACACAAACATCATGAATTAGTGTTTTATTATGAGACAAAAACATCGTGAATTAGTGTTTTATTATGACACAAACATCATTTATTAGTGTTTTATTATGAGACAAAAACATCGTGAATTAGTGTTTTATTATGACACAAACATCATGAATTAGTGTTTTATTATGAGACAAAAACATCGTGAATTAGTGTTTTATTATGTTTTATTATGACACAAACACATCATGAATTACTATTTTATTATGACACAAACACATCATGAATTACTGTTTTATTATGACACAAACACATCATGAATTAGTGTTTTATTATGTGACAAACACATCATGAATTAGTGTTTTATTATGAGACAAACACATCATGAATTAGTGTTTTACTATGACAAAAACACAACATGAATTGCTGTTTTATTATGACACAAACACATCATGAATTACTGTTTTATTGTGACACAAACACTTCATGATTTGGTGTTTTAGTATGACACAAACACATCATGAATTAGTGTTATATTATAACACAAACACATCATGAATTAGTTTTATTATGACACAAATACTTCGTGAATTGGTGTTTTTTTATGACACAAACACTTCATGATTTAGTGTTTTATTATGAGACAAACACATCATGAATTAGGGTTTTATTATGACACAAACACATCATGAATAAGAGTTTTATTATGACACAAACACATCATGAATCAGTGTTTTATTATGACACAAACATGGTGAATTAGTGTTTTATTATGAGACAAACACATCATGAATTAGTGTTTTATTATGATACAAACATCATGAATTAGTGTTTTATTATGAGACAAAAACATCGTGAATTAGTGTTTTATTATGAGACAAACATCATCATGAATTAGCCTTTTATTATGAGACAAACACATCATGAATTAGTGTTTTATGATGATACAAACACATCATGAATTAGTGTTTTATTATGTTTTATTATGACACAAACATATAATGAATTGGTGTTTTATTATGACACAAACACATCATAAATTAGTGTTTTATTATGACACAAACACATCATGAATTAGTGTTTTACAATGACAAAAACACAACATGAATTGCTGTTTTATTATGACACAAACACATCATGAATTAGTGTTTTATTATGACACAAACACATCATGAATTAGTGTTTTATTATGACACAAACACATCATGAATTAGTGTTTTATTATGAGACAAACATCATCATGAATTTGTGTTTTATTATGAGACAACCACATCATGAATTAGTGTTTTATTATGACGCAAACACATCATGAATTAGTGTTTTATTATGACACGAACATCGTGAATTAGTGTTTTATTATGACACAAACACAATATGAATTAGTGTTTTATTATGAGACAAACATCATCATGAATTTGTGTTTTATTATGAGACAACCACATCATGAATTAGTGTTTTATTATGACGCAAACACATCATGAATAAGTGTTTTATTATGAGACAAACACATCATGAATTAGTGTTTTATTATGACACGAACATCGTGAATTAGTGTTTTATTAAGAGACAAACACATCATGAATTAGTGTTTTATTATGACACAAACACATCATGAATTAGTGTTTTATTATGAGACAAACACATCATGAATTCGTGTTTTATTATGAGACAAACACATCATGAATTCGTGTTTTATTATGAGACAAACACATCATGAATTAGTGTTTTATTATGAGACAAAAACATCATGAATTCGTGGATTTATTATGAGACAAACACATCATGAATTAGTGTTTAATTATGAGACAAACACATCGTGAATTAGTGTTTTATTATGAGACAAACACATCATGAATTAGTGTTTTATTATGAGACAAACACATCATGAATTAGTGTTTTATTATGAGACAAACACATCATGAATTAGTGTTTTATTATGAGACAAACACATCATGAATTAGTGTTTTGTTATGAGAGAAACACATCATGAATTAGTGTTTCATTATGACACAAACATCATGAATTAGTGTTTTATTATGAGACAAAAACATCATGAATCCGTGTTTTATTATGAGACAAAAACATCATGAATTCGTGTTTTATTATGAGACAAACACATCATGAATTAGTGTTTTATTATGAGACAAACACATCATGAATTAGTGTTTTATTATGACACAAACACATCATGAATTAGTGTTTTATTATGAGACAAACACATGAATTAGTGTTTTATTATGAGACAAAAACATCATGAATCCGTGTTTTATTATGAGACAAAAACATCATGAATTCGTGTTTTATTATGAGACAAACACATCATGAATTAGTGTTTTATTATGAGACAAACACATCATGAATTAGTGTTTTATTATGACACAAACACATCATGAATTAGTGTTTTATTATGAGACAAACACATCATGAATTAGTGTTTTATTATGAGACAAACACATCATGAATTAGTGTTTTGTTATGAGAGAAACACATCATGAATTAGTGTTTTATTATGAGACAAACACATCATGAATTAGTGTTTCATTATGAGACAAACACATCGTGAATTAGTGTTTTATTATGAGACAAACACATCATGAATTAGTGTTTTGTTATGAGAGAAACACATCATGAATTAGTGTTTTATTATGAGACAAACACATCATGAATTAGTGTTTCATTATGAGACAAACACATCGTGAATTAGTGTTTTATTATGAGACAAACACATCATGAATTAGTGTTTTATTATGACACAAACACATCATGAATTAGTGTTTTATTATGAGACAAACACATCGTGAATTAGTGTTTTATTATGACACAAACACATCATGAATTAGTGTTTTATTATGACACAAACACATCATGAATTAGTGTTTCATTATGAGACAAACACATCGTGAATTAGTGTTTTATTATGAGACAAACACATCATGAATTAGTGTTTTATTATGACACAAACACAT